AACCTACCTTTTTTTTTTACTCCAGATAATTAATTACATTTTACCAAAACAAACCTCACCAAAGTAACAAATTACTTTTTTTTGGAACTAGTAGAGTTATTCACTAAAGTGAGAATTCATTGTGAAGTCAAAATGAATTTAAAATTTAAGATAAAAATAGCTGAACTGGAAAAATCATCTAATTAAGCTATGCTTCAGGTTTGGCTACTCTGGCCTTACATTTGGAATTATATTTTAATTCAATTTGCGGTCTCCATTTAGTTCTCCCTGTAAAACTAATGACCATATCCATGAACTCATTCTCTTTGGTCTGCTTAGTCATTAAAACAAACTTGATCAATACAAATTACTGAAAAATGTTTTTGCATCATCTTTAGAGCCCATTTTCTCAAGCTGTTCTTTAAGTGTCTCTTTCTACAGTTGCTCTCAATTAACAGTCAGAGTACTATAAGACATACCTAGGACTAAGGTGCCAATCTTATATTTTTGGATCTTTGAAGCTTTTCAAATGATTTAACACCTTTAGGTAAACTTTATAAATGATTCCATATTTTTTTAAATATATTAATAATTAGATTTTTTAATATATTTTTGATATAATTTTTAATATAGTTACATAGTTGTATAACTTGAAAAAAGACTAAAGTCAATCAAATTGAGCCCTGAAGTCCATTCTTTTTATGCTGTTGATAAAAAAAAAAGCTAAAAACCACAATTGCAGCCATTTCCAATATTATCACAAAAAGGGAACATAATTTCTTCATGACTCCATTCTTGACTCCATAATGGCAATCAGATTTTTCCTTGGATCAATCACTTGTTTAATACATATCAATTATATGCTTAAATATTCTTTTCATGAAAAAGTAGCCACGCTTTTAAAAAAATTATGTGTAGAACATCTTTAGGCGGAGAATTTTACATTATTATTGCTCTAACTGTAAGAACCCTTTCTCTGCTGTAAGCAAAAACACCTTTCTTCCATTCCCAGTGTCTGTTGTATATTCCTGCCAATGAACCAGTTAACACATAGGGGTTTGCACTGAACCTGCACATACTTGAGAAGCCTTTTCTAAAGAAAACAAATCCAGTTTTTCTAGCCCCTCCTAATAACTAATGTATTCCATCCCCTTTACTAATTTGTAGCTCATCTGTGCACTTTTTCTAGTTCTGCAATATCTTCCTTTAAAATTGGTGCCTCAAAATGCAAATTCCAAGTGGGGTTTTACCATTGATTTGTAAAGAAGCAAGCTTACATTTTGATCATGTCAATACCACAATTTTATACACAAATTCAGCTTACTAGCTTTTGCAATGGCAGACTGCCATTGTAACCTATATTCCTTATTGCCTGTAAGAGATGTGAACAAGTCTGCACTATGTTCCAGTGTAGGGTTATTGCAGCAGTCTTGGCATTTTCTGCATCGGGTGAAGTTATCTGTTTGTATCCCACTAAATCTGTTTGTATCAGTATATTTGATGGTGGATGCCCACATTAGCTGTAAATTGTGAGCTTTGGAATTAATAATTCTTGGAGTATCTTCCAGAATAGTTACCAGATTGGGATCACCATTCAAGAAACTGGGTAATAAAAGCGGGAGCTCCAGTTTCTTAGGTTGGTCATTTGGTATTAGGTTGGATGGCTTGTCCTCTCGGTATGATTTCTGCTCTTTCCATGGCTCTCTCCAGGAAAGGACGTGAGTACCCCTTCTCTAGAAAGCAAAATATAATATCTTACATCTGCAATATCTCTTTTTCCTGATGCACCTAAATTGGCTGTGATAAAGAGAAGAATTTGGATGAACTAAATCATGGTGGTTCTACCCTCTTGATACTTTGATTCCAAATGGTTTTAATGTGGATTTTGAACTAAATGTGTTTTTCTAAGATCCACCCAGCAGTTCCCTTTTTAGTGATTGTATCTTATTCTTGGTATTTTATTCTTGATACTTTTTAGCAGAATAGTTTTTTTTCCCAATCTCTTTCTCTAAATTTATTTTTGCGTTATATCGATCTATCTATATTTATATTTTCACTTATTATCGATATTTGAATATGTAAACTTTTTCCTTTTTTCTCTCCCTCTCACCTTCCAATTCATTTTAAGTTTAATTTAATTCAATTTTATCTCATGTCTTTATTCATCTACCAATGGATGTTTATATATTTATTGTCATAGACTCCTTTACATACTCTTTTTAACTTCCATGTCATCTTCAGGATTTTTATCAGGATTTGTATCTCCCTCTAGTGGTAATCAATGGTTATCAAGCTATTCTTTTAATTTTGGTATCAACATGTTTTGAAATATCAGGTAGAATAGGAGAGTAGGTGGAGTGCCTTGAATGTCCTTAGTGGTTTTACCAAATTATAAAAAGAGAGAGAGCAAAAACAGAAAGTGTACTAAGTCTCTTTTTTGTGATCAGTAAGGAATAAATGTACACTTACATTTTTTAGGAGCTAAAATTTAGCTCCAACTTCAGTGTCTGGACAGTATGATCTCAAGGGATATAGTCTAGTTTTGTGTGTCCTGCAGTTGCTCCTTATGAGATGTCCTGTACACATAAAAGGAGATCAAAATAGGGGCATGGCTTAATGGCGGATGAGAGCGGACGCCTAACTCAGAGCTCTTTCGCAAACGAGTACACATAGCGTGAAAAACAGTGATTTCCTGGCCGGCAAACACGGCCACCTTGAGGCACCATCTTATTGAAGCAATGTCCACCAAAGTCGCCAAGAAAAATAAACAAAAAATGCTCCAGATGCATATAACAACGTTGACGGAAAACAGAGCGGGAATCCAAGATGGTGCCGACAGGCCTGAGTCCCCAGCCTCTTGTGCAGATACAGGTGAGCTCACCCTCACCACAGACATCATGCAAACACCTGTTACCAATGAAACCCTACACAATATGCTCCTTGACCTTAAAAATGCATTCAAATCTGACCTAAAACAGATTGCAATGGATATCAGATCTGACATTTGATCCCTGGGAGAAAGATCATCCTGTTTAGAAGAGAGAACAGAGGAAATCAGAGAAGCACATAACAGTATAGCAGAGGCACATTCAGCTTTACTTTCAAGACTGCAAAATTTGGAAGCAAAGGTGGCGGACCACGAGGATCGCGACTGACGCCATAACATCAGAATCCGGGGGATCCCGGAGACGGTTGGTCCGCAGGGCTTGACCCAATACTTACAAGAAATCTTCAAGGTCTACATCCCAACCCTAACAGAAACCGAGCTGTTACTGAACCGCACACACCGCCTCCCGAAACCCAAACATCTACCAACGACTGTACTGTTATCACCTGGGTACACTACTTCACAGTCAAGGACCGCATAATGCAGGCCTCCAGAAGCCAAGGTCAGCTCCCGAGTCAATTCTTACAGGTCAAACTATTTATAGACCTATCTTCCTCCACAATGATTAAAAGACGCACGTTTACAGCGGCCCTGAGAGTGGCGAATGTCCGATACAAATGGGGCTTCCCAACTAAACTCTTAGTCAAGCGAAATGGAGTGGACAACCCAATTCTCGACCCCGAAACAGGCAAGTGACTCTTAATGAAATGGAACATTCCGATACAGGACGACCAACAGTAGACCTCCACAACGTCTTCAAAGCGGCTGGAAAAAACAATCACGCACCACCGAGACATAGGGGCGCACATAAAAAGGACATGCTTCCATCCATCCAGAGATTACCACATGACTTTCCAAAAGAACAGGTTGTATGCCTTCACTGTGTTTAAACACAAATTATTTTTCAAAAATAGCAAGCCGGACTATAAGACTACTTGCACCTTCCAAGAGTAGTAACAAGACCCTCACTGACTATATTTACCAGTGTCTATTGTAATAACTTACTCTTGACCACTACACCCACCCCCATAATGGCCTCTCTATCAGAGCCACAAATTAATCCGTTATACTACCACCATATCGCAAAGTTACGGAGAACGGAATTTTGTACATAGTTGCCTATTGGTTTAGTTACTTTATTATTTTGTCTTTTTTTTGCAAGGCAGACCCTAAGGACCTTAAGTCCCATGCTCCTTTTATCTCACAAGACCACCATGAAAGCCGCACAAGTAACTCCCAACAGGGGTAAAAGCGCACCTCGGAACCCAATAGTCATGGGTAAGCATTATCTGCCCCAACCAGTTCACAATCCTGATCACCACCAAGATGGTACTTAAAATCTGCTCCTTGAATGCCAAAGGGCTCAACTCCCCAAACAAATGCCGCTTGGCCCTACGCGAATCTAAATCCCTTGGAGCCAATGTAGTATTTTTCCAAGAGACACACTTCAAATGGGGTAGTAGACCTGTATTCCACTCACCTGCTTATCCTATAGGTTACCATTCATGTTATTCAACCAAAAAAAGAGGGGTATCCATACTAATCTGTGAAGATGCAATATTCTCCTTAATACGCAAAATAGGGGATAAAAAGGGGCAATACATTGTCTTGCAATGCTATTTGAATAACAATATTGATGTTTCATTAAGCACGCTAGTTATGCAAAAAAGAAACGACTAGAGCAATATACCTCTATACTCTCTGAGCTAGCTTCATTAACCCATGCCAACAAACACACACCAACAGTGTCCTCACACACCTGATTACTACTCCTACAAACACAGCTACGTGACATGGAACTGGCCAAAACTACATTCCTCACGTGCAGGCTTAAACACAGATATTTCGCCAGAGGCAACAGAGCAGGGGCATGACTAGCCGCGCAATTGAAACAAAGGGCACCAACCTCCAGGATTGCCTCCCTCAAAGGAACTAGGGGTACCAAGATAATTGACCCACAGGGGATTGTAGATGAGTTCGCTCTATATTATGAAAAAATATATAATTTTAAAAAACGACCCACAGATCATATGCCCCACAAAGACTGATATTGATGCTTTTCTTATCAGAAGTCAATCTCCCGACTTTGTCAGCCACAGACATAAATTACCTGCGCAACCCCTTCACGACAGAGATGATTGTTTCGGTGACATCATCACTTCCATCACATAAATCCCCTGGCCCCAATGGCCTACCTAATGGATACTACCGCAGATACTCTAATGTCCTATCTCAGCCCCTTAAAGAAGTGTTCAACCACTGCATGCAGGGGGGTTCCCTACCAGTGGAGATGTTGCTTGCACATGTCTCCACCTTGCCCAAACCGGGCATATCTAAGGACCAGTGTAAAAACTTCAGGCCCATTTCACTGCTAAATTGCGATGCTAAAATCTATGCAAAACTAGTTAGTGAAAGATTAGCACCGCTCCTGAACAAACTGGTCCATAATGACCAGTCGGGGTTTGTGAGGGGACGACAAGGTTCCGACAATTCCAGAAAGGTGCTGAATATGGTAGCGGAGATGGAGAGAGGAAAACTCGGAGGCCCTTTTCTTGCACTGGACTAAACTGGCACTACGTGATAAGTGTACTAAATAAATACCAATTCCTCGAAGAAATAATCAGGGGAATATTGGCACTTTATGCACAACCCACCGCTAAGGTCTCCCATGGCAGGTTCCTTTCAAGAACTTTCCACATCACAAACGGGACGCGTCAGTGCTGCCCACTGTCCCTGCTGCTCCACATCCTTTCGTTAGAACCTCTGGCCTGGAAAATAAGAGAAAACCAAGACATAACCGGTGTCACTCTAGGGGATAAGGAGTACAGCTTTATTTGCTGATGACATCTTCGTGGCTCTAGCAAACCCAGAGCGCTCTTTGCCTCCCTTGTTAACACTTCTGTCAACTTACGGTAAAGTCTCATATCACCGCTTAAATTGAGACAAAACACAAGTCCTGCCCATAAACCTGCCGAAGACGAATGACAGCCCTTAGGGCCACATTTGAACTCGACTGGCGAACAACATCTCTAACATATATAGGAGTCAAAATTGCCACTACCATTGATAACATAGTGAAATTTAACTATAAACCCCTCATGCAAATATGCAAAACAGAAATACTTAAATGGAAAATTGCGAACCTCTCATGGCTCGGACGAGTAAATGCTTATAAAATGATGCTACTGCCGAGGCTGTTGTATATATTCAGAATGCTTACAATTACTGTCCCCACAGCTATCCACAAGTCCTTACAAACAATATGCAACTCATATGTCTGGGGAGGGAAGAAGCCTAGGTTACCTCTGAATCTCTTACAAAAGACACCTCACACAGGAGGCATCGGCCTACCCAATATAGGATTATACTATAAGGCCTCCTTACTGGAAGCATGTATACACCTCCAAGGGGCAAGACACAGTGGGTAGATATGGAACATGATCAACTTAGCCACACCAAACTACTCAATTTCATATGGACACCACTCACTCACTGGTGTCACAATAGCTTTCATTTAAAAAAAATAAAAAATTTTTCACTATAATAGATTGAATAGCAGTTAGTTGTCTGCCAGCTTCTGTGTCAGGCTCACAGTGGATACTGTGCCCAGTGCCACCACTCACTGGTGTCACAATAGCTTGCATTTAAAAACAAAAAACTTTTTTCACTGTTATAGATTGAATAGCAGTTAGTTGTCTCAAAGTGGGTGTGTCAGGCTCACAGTGGATACTGTGCCCAGTGCCACCACTCACTCACTGGTGTCACAATAGCTTGCATTTAAAACCCAAAAACTTTTTTCACTGTTATAGATTGAATAGCAGTTAGTTGTCTCAAAGCGGGTGTGTCAGGCTCACAGTGGATACTGTGCCCAGTGCCACCACTCACTCACTGGTGTCACAATAGCTTGCATTTAAAACCAAAAAACTTTTTTCACTGTTATAGATTGAATAGCAGTTAGTTGTCTGCAAGCATCTGTGTCAGGCTCACAGCGTATACTGTGCCCAGTGCCACCACTTACTCACTGGTGTCACAATGGCGTGCATTTAAAAACAAAAACTTTTTCACTGTTATAGATTGAATTGCAGTTAGTTGTCTCCAAGCGTCTGTGTGTCAGGCTCGCAGCGTATACTGTGCCCACTTGCCCAGTGCCACCACTCACTCACTGGTGTCACAATAGCGTGCATTTAAAAACCCAAAAACTTTTTTTCACTGTTATAGATTGAATAGCAGTTAGTTGTCTGCAAGCGTCTGTGTGTCAGGCTCGCAGCGTATACTGTGCCCATTTGCCCAGTGCCACCACTCACTCACTGGTGTCACAATAGCGTGCATTTAAAACAAAAAAACTTTTTTCACTGTTATAGATTGAATAGCAGTTAGTTGTCTCAAAGCGGGTGTGTCAGGCTCACAGTGGATACTTGCCCAGTGCCACCACTCACTCACTGGTGTCACAATAGGTTGCATTTAAAACTGGTACTTTCGCTGGTATAGATTGAATAGCAGTTAGTTGTCTGCCAGCTGCGTCTGTGTCAGATACAGTGGATACTGTGCCCAGTGCCACCACTCTCACTCACTGGTGTCACAATAGGCGTGCATTTAAAAACAAAAACTTTTCCTTATTTATGGATTGAATAGCAGTTAGTTGTCTCAAAGCGGGTTTGTCAGGCTCACAGTGGATACTGTGCCCAGTGCCACCACTCACTCACTGGTGTCACAATAGCTTGCATTTAAAACCAAAAAACTTTTTTCACTGTTATAGATTGAATAGCAGTTAGTTGTCTGCCAGCATCTGTGTCAGACTCACAGTGGATACTGTGCCCAGTGCCACCACTCACTCACTGGTGTCACAATAGCGTGCATTTAAAAACCAAAAAACTTTTCCACTGTTATAGATTGAATAGCAGTTAGTTGTCACAAAGCGGGTGTGTCAGGCTCACAGTGGATACTTTGCCCAGTGCCACCACTCACTCACTGGTGTCACAATAGATTGCATTTAAAACCAAAAACTTTTTTCACTGTTATAGATTGAATAGCAGTTAGTTGTC